AGACAAAACTGTCCAAAAAGGATCACCATTTATTATTTTTTGTGTTCCAAGACTAACACATTTTCGGCGACTGACCTTTCTTTTTAGGCTACTTGTTGCTGGAAAAATTACAAAAAGTCCTTTTAAAAAACACAAAACACATCCAATTAAAATTTCTAAAAATTTCTGAAAAAGGAACTGGTGACATACAGTTGTCTTGCTTACTTCCATCTATACCTTCTTTTGGATGTGTTTTGTGTTTTTTAAAAGGACTTTTTGTAATTTTTCCGGTGACAAGTAGCCTAAAAAGAAAGGTCAGTCGCCGAAAATGTGTTAGTCTTGGAACACAAAAAATAATAAATGGTGATCCTTTTTGGACGGTTTTGTCTACAATTTTATTAGAAATAATTCTCCATCGGACGAACTTTTACAGCACAAATCAAAAAACATTTTTAAAAATTTAGTTTTCATTAATTTACTAAATTATTTATAATTTATTTAACATTCCTACAAAAATATTTTATATTTGTTTTTATACACTTACAACTGCTGTCTCAGAAGGCTCTTTATTTGTAGCAGGTTCTTCAGTCTTTAATCGATCAGCAGCTTCTTTTGCTTTCTGAAGAGCTCTTTCAGACTGTATTTTACTTAAAGCAGCTAAAATAAATTGAAAATTTATTAATTAGCAAATTTATATAATAATAACAGTAATGGTAAACACATAACAAAATATTAATACAATATAATTTACACACATATGTCACAACTTCATGAGATCAGCTGAATTATGAAAGTAAAACATTCTTTATATAATAATGATATAGTAGAGTCTCAGAAACTCAACTTTTGATAACTTGACATTCCATAAAACTTGTAGTGTCAAAAAAAAAAAAAAAAAAAGTAATCTAATTTTTACCTCTAACTTAACACTACAATGAAATAAATTATTGTTCTTCACTGTCAACATTTAATTATAGCATCAATTCTACATGTTAACAGAGAATATAACCCTTTTCCCAAAGTGTTACTACAAAACCTAACTGCAAATGTCACTGACTCAAAAATAGCCACTGAATAGCCAATATTTTTATTTTAATTAAAATTTAACTACAAATAGAAATAGTCACTAATGGTACTTAGTTAATATGATTAAGAATTTGCAAACATATCTTTATGAAAATTCCATTATTTAGACTAGCATCATCACTATATTGTAAAACTCATCACCTTCTCAGTCCACATTACATCGAGTTTTGCAGGAGTCTACTATATATATATATATATATTTCAGAATATTAATTAAAATAGATGAAAATAATGAAATTATTATGGCTTAGAAAATGTATTTCAATAATTAAAAAACAAATTAAAAATTAATCTTCACTCTTCATTTCTATCAGAAATAGATCCATCAACATTTTCAAAGAATAACTTGAATAAATCAAACTCAATATATTGAGAACACACTTTCTTATTTATTTCCTTCTTTAATTGCTTATAATTGAAAAGACCAGATTAAAATTTCAGACATTACTAGAATATTAAATATATGAAAATTTAGGAAAATATTAATGTTGACTATGATAGCTGCTATCAAGCTTTTTTTTGTTAAATTATAAAGTAACACATAATTTATTTTCATTGCTTTTTTGCTACATTAATTGATTTTAAAAACATTTTAATTTTTTCATTTATTTTTCTAAATATAAGTTTTATTCTAATAATTAACAGTTCATTTCATGTTGCATTTGTTGTGCTAATATCTCAGTAGAACAAATTTCATTAATATAATATATATATTAGTATTATAATAACTTTAATAGCATATACACACACAGTATATGAAGATAATAACAGATTAACAGTATTTGAAAAGTTTTTAAATTGCATATTTCATTGCTTAAAAGATTTACATTTACAATTTAGATATGAAACTTATAATTTCTTCAAAATAAATTTTTTACTGTCAATTTAAATATAAAATCAAATGTAAAATATTTTTATACATGAATGAAAATTTTAAATAGATTGATTTTTCTAATCAATTTAAATTTAACAAAGACATCTCTCAAATTGATTTTTTAGTCTGCTGTTCTGTTATGTAAAATAGTTTCATTTTTTTTTTTTGCTGTATTTTAGCTAAATATATTATATTTTTAAAATATTTGATTTAAAAATATAAATGATAAAAATATAGTGTCTTCATTTATATTTTTGTCTTATTTTTAAAATATTCATACTGGAATTATTAACATAATGTTATTATTTTTAAACAATTTCAATACAACTACAATAGCATCAACAACTTCAAATCTCTAAAGTTTGAAAGTTGTTCTGGTGCAAATTAATTTTTTTAAACAAATATTTCTTTCTTTTAAAATTACGACAACCCCTTACTTATTGTATTTCATTTAATGCCATTGAGGACATTTGTACATTCAAGTACGAGGGCTATTTTTTAAATAACGTCTGTTTTTTAATAAGAAGAAAAATACTGTAAATATCATTAAAATATATTTTTCCCATATTCTACATACTTTTATCTACTTTTCTACATAATTTCCATATGTTCAAACATTTGTCATACTGCTCAAAAACTTTTTAATTCTGACTTCAAAGAAATCTGCTGCCTGCTGCCGGAAGACATTAAGCCACACTGCTTGTCTTGTATGGCACAGTGGAGTTTTCTCAAGGTCACAATAAGCATCAGAATTGATTGTTGTGCCTCCTGACATAAAATCTACTAACAAAGTCACTTTCCTGTCCCAAAAGACAGTTACCACGCTCTTTCGTGCTGAAATCGTATAACAGATCGTATCTTACAGTCGGTGGGCGACTCAATTTTCTTCAACATTATAAACTTCTACAGTTCAGCACACAGACAGATGATACGGCTGCAAATAGCATTTAAACATGCACAAAGCATGCTGAAAACAGATGCTCATGCACACTGCTGCAATCGCGCATCATTCTCACTCTCATTCACAAATGGACCTTATTTAAAAAATAGCCCTCGTACATTTGTAATCATTTACAATTATTGTTGTTGAATTTTCTTCATAAACAGGAAAATTGATTCTACAAGGTGAGATTTAAATGCTAAAGGTGGAAAACACAATTCAATTAGAATATTAACCAAATTATATTTTGTCTGTATCAATTAACCTATGATAATATTGGTTTTATTACACATCAATTCACTTAATATTAGTTTTCAAGAATCTATTGACAATATTAAGTAAGGATTTGCTGTATATAATTATCAATTATTATTTGTATATATTATTCATTACACTTTAATTTTATACAAAATACTCTATATAACTGAATCTGGTTATTTAATACAAATTTTTAATTGCTAATTTGTATTTTATTCTAATTTGGATCTTATTTTGTTTATTACGTATGGTAATCATGTTATCATAAATATATTATACTTTACCTATGACAAATGTAATTGTTGAATTTTAAAAAATTACAACAATTACATATTTATTTATTAGAAAACTCGGTCAAACTTAAAATACAAACTATATTAAATACATTGTGATTTATGATATCTATTTTCAATGTAATTACTTGAAAGGTTCTCTATTTATAATAATAATTATGCCTCAAGTTAAGTATTGTTTTATTCATTTGTAGATTCAGATGATAAAATAACTTATTACAAAATTAAAATACTGTAACCTTAATTTTAAACATTCAGTTAAATAAAAATACTGATTCTTTTATAGTAGAATCATAGCTACTAACATGTAAGAAGTGATTTTTAAACATATTTTAAGTGAAAATTAGAGAATATACAAAGATAAATGTTGAAAGTAATTTTATCACTTTCAATATTTTACTAATTTTTCAGAGTTATTCATTCTAAAAATTTTTCAATTTTCTTTCATTAACCATATTTCATTCTGATATTATTTAAAATTTGTTTTCTTAAATTTTGTTCCTTAATGAAATATTTAAAAACTTATAATATTCTGATAAATGCATTTTATAATTGAAATAGTCATGATCATATATGCATATAATGTAAATCAATTTCCATATGTGATATTAACTTGCATTAATTTAGTCTCATCATATGAAAAATATCACTTTGACTAAATATATTTCAACTGGAAAAATCAACGTCTTGAAAATCTATAGCTGCATTATGGTAGGTGACCTTGTAGATTTCCACCTGTTCTAGATGTTTGAGCATATATACAGTCGACCCCCCTATAATTACGGTCCCTATAATTACGATTCCTATAAAACTACGAAAAAATATACGTATTTTGGAAATGTTGAGTCAGATTAGTGTAGAATCGATTAATTTTATGGAAGAAAACCTTTCAAGCAGCCGTAGTCAGTAAACTTGACACGTGTCGGGCTGTGATTGGAACGACTTGTAAGAAATCAGATTCCTAATAAATTGGAACGTATCTATATCTTATAGGGGGGGGTCGACTGTAGTTTAAATTTGTAGTGTAAGAAGTATGTCTACCGGAATTCCACTTAGATGCTGGGAATTAATGCGTATGTGGCTAAAGCCATATTATTTAATCCTTTTTTGATAGATGTTTGATGTTCCTTGAGACGAACATATAATGGGTGAAATGTAGCACCTATGTATTGCAGGTGGTGGTTGTATTGATGGTCAATGATGGGGATGTGGTAAATGCCTGGGAGATGGTCCTTGTTGGGACAATCTTTGGCATTACAGAGTAAAGAGGAGATAGCCAGACTTCTGCAGAACGCCAAACAATAATTGTTTCCTCGTGCTATTTCTTTTATAAACTGGAAAAATTTAGAGGTATCAGAAAAAATGATTAAAGTAAGTAAGAATAGTAACTGCTAATAGTAACTGCTGGTAAGGAAAAAGTAACTACACAGTGTCTAAAGTAAAATTAGTTGGCCACGATAACATATTTGTACACTGCTGTAATATTATACTGAAAGCAATATGCTAAATATTAAGTTTTTGCTTAATAAAAATTCTACTACTACTCAGCATTAAAGTCCTACATCTTAATATTTCCTCCAAACACCAACCCAAAGCTTCCTCAAATTATCCTCCACATCATCCAGCCATTGCTTCAGTGGTCTTCTTCTACATCTCTTGCCACCCAGATTTCATATACAGATCTTGGCAACTCTATAATATGACATTCATTCAACATGCTCCAACCATCTCAGTCTGTTACTCTTTTATTTCCACAATTATAATCAGTATAACCATACAGTTGTGCTACTGTTTTTCTGCATTGTTTTTCCACATCCTCCATTGCCCTGCCTCATACACTGCCCCAAATATCTTCCTTAGAATTTTCCTCTCCCATCTTCTTAAGAGTTCCTCCACAGCCACAGTCATTGTCCATGTTTCCGAACCATACATCACCACTGTCTAATAACTGTGCAATAAACAGCCACCTTCAATCTTCTACACAGGCTATGGGATTTGAGAATTCTAATCAGGGCCCAGTAAGCTCTATTTCCCACTGCAATCCTTGCCTTTATCTCTTAAGTTATCATCACTAGTTAGGCTACCAGTACTCCCAGGTACTTAATAATTTTTATTTATGGCTTTACGGGGGGCGTGACTTGACCGTGAGCGCTGCTGGTGACTTTGTTTTTACACCTCGACGTAAATCTAGAATTTAGTGTATTTTTTCAATTTTATTATCTGAATTAACCAAAAGTGTTTAATACNCAATGTATAGAATTAGATAATAATACATGCTAACTGTCTTGTTCAATTTTTATGATTATTTTATAAAGTTGCTAAATGGTGCCAAAGGTAGTCACATTGCTTCATTGGAGTTCACCTATCCACAACCTAATGAGTGTGATACACACCTGTTGCTGCACCAATGAATTCATCGGTAAATATCAGAACCCATTTTTGTACATTGCAGTTCACCATTTGATGCATACTGGAATGTACTCATAGAATTAATGATGATTGTTCTTATAAAGCCATTCTTTGAGTAAAATTTCAATCCACATGCTGTTTTTCTTCACTATTACCAATAAATATTTTGAGTGGAGATTCCATAACATAAACTAAATTCAGATTCATTTCAAAATGCACTTCCATACTCAAGTTAATTAGCAAAACAGTTTTTTTCTTTTATCTGTGATGTAAATAAAAATAAACTGCTTTTAAGAATTTCTCAATCCCCATCAAACATAGAAGCACTAAAGATCTGTCTAAAAATTAACACAGCTAACCAGTTTCACTCAAGACACTTAGGCTTTGTAAAATTTTTAGACAATTTTAATCATAAACATTCCTTTTAATATGATATCACACTCCATTTTAAGACATTCATAAAGTATCTTAATTTTATTCTAAAATAAGTTCTAATGTTTTCAAATTATCATCTGAAGCAAATTATAAAAGAATAATGTTATTAATTTATTAAGTTTAATTAAGTAATTAAATACAGTATAAAAACTTTTTAAATCCATTTTATCATATGACTCTTCTTAAAAGTTTGAATATTCATAATAAATTGTTTTATAAGAGATATTTAAGATAATTTGAAATTGATATTTCTCATTCAATAGAATAAAATTTGTATAAATGACAAAATCCATCATTGTATGGTCTTCTCAAGTAGGATTTTCCATCATGCTTAATTGTAATATTAGAAGAGCATGCAGCATTTTTAAATATAAGTAAGAATCATTTTTGGACATGTATTAGTATAACCATCTGACTTGCTTGTGCACATAAAATAATTTTTAGACAGACCCTAAGATTCCAGAACAAAAACAACACCCTTTTTTTCAAATTAAACATCATATTTTCAAATGTAAAAAAAATCCCTATGATTGAAGATTGTCACACCTCTTATATATTAAATATAATAGAATACCACAAGTATACAATCCAAATGTACGAAAAACAATGCTTTCTGTAAGAAATATACAATTACACATATTTAATAAAGTATGCATATATAAAAGTAGACACATACAAAAAAATAATAACAATTTCACAATTAAACTACATATTTTAGTAATAGAAGTTGTAAATATAACATTAATATCTCCAACTCTACTTTGTAGCTTTAAAACTTTGTTCAGAACATATAAAAATTAAGAGAATATGAATTTTCAAAGATAAAAGTAATAAATTTGGATGTGTATAAAATATATTCATAAGAGAAATCATCTTACAATTAACTAATTCATGACATGTACAAACTCTGAAAACAGTTGTTAATTAATTAATAATGATACCATTTTCCAAATTAACCAGAATTTTTTAAAGAAAATTTAACTCTTGGTAATATCAAAAAACATAATAAAATTGTAGACAAAAGTGTCCAAAAAGAATCACCATTTATTATTTTTTGTGTTCCAAGACTAACACATTTTCGGCGACTGACCTTTCTTTTTAGGCTACTTGTTGCTGGAAAAATTACAAAAAGTCCTTTTAAAAAACACAAAACACATCCAATTAAAATTTCTAAAAATTTCTGAAAAAGGAACTGGTGACATACAGTTGTCTTGCTTACTTCCATCTATACCTTCTTTTGGATGTGTTTTGTGTTTTTTAAAAGGACTTTTTGTAATTTTTCCGGTGACAAGTAGCCTAAAAAGAAAGGTCAGTCGCCGAAAATGTGTTAGTCTTGGAACACAAAAAATAATAAATGGTGATCCTTTTTGGACGGTTTTGTCTACAATTTTATTAGAAATAATTCTCCATCAGACGAACTTTTACAGCACAAATCAAAAAACATTTTTAAAAATTTAGTTTTCATTAATTTACTAAATTATTTATAATTTATTTAACATTCCTACAAAAATATTTTATATTTGTTTTTATACACTTACAACTGCTGTCTCAGAAGGCTCTTTATTTGTAGCAGGTTCTTCAGTCTTTAATCGATCAGCAGCTTCTTTTGCTTTCTGAAGAGCTCTTTCAGACTGTATTTTACTTAAAGCAGCTAAAATAAATTGAAAATTTATTAATTAGCAAATTTATATAATAATAACAGTAATGGTAAACACATAACAAAATATTAATACAATATAATTTACACACATATGTCACAACTTCATGACATCAGCTGAATTATGAAAGTAAAACATTCTTTATATAATAATGATATAGTAGAGTCTCAGAAACTCAACTTTTGATAACTTGACATTCCATAAAACTTGTAGTGTCATCAAAAAAAAAAAAAAAGTAATCTAATTTTTACTTCTATAACTTAACACTACAATGAAAAAAATTATTGTTCTTCACTGTCAACATTTAATTATAGCATCAATTCTACATGTTAACAGAGAATATAACCCTTTTCCCAAAGTGTTACTACAAAACCTAACTGCAAATGTCACTGACTAAAAAATAGCCACTGAATAGCCAATATTTTTATTTTAATTAAAATTTAACTACAAATAGAAATAGTCACTAATGGTACTTAGTTAATATGATTAAGAATTTGCAAACATATCTTTATGAAAATTCCATTATTTAGACTAGCATCATCACTATATTGTAAAACTCATCACCTTCTCAGTCCACATTACATCGAGTTTTGCAGGAGTCTACTATATATATATATATATATTTCAGAATATTAATTAAAATAGATGAAAATAATGAAATTATTATGGCTTAGAAAATGTATTTCAATAATTAAAAAACAAATTAAAAATTAATCTTCACTCTTCATTTCTATCAGAAATAGATCCATCAACATTTTCAAAGAATAACTTGAATAAATCAAACTCAATATATTGAGAACACACTTTCTTATTTATTTCCTTCTTTAATTGCTTATAATTGAAAAGACCAGATTAAAATTTCAGACATTACTAGAATATTAAATATATGAAAATTTAGGAAAATATTAATGTTGACTATGATAGCTGCTATCAAGCTTTTTTTTGTTAAATTATAAAGTAACACATAATTTATTTTCATTGGTTTTTTGCTACATTAATTGATTTTAAAAACATTTTAATTTTTTCATTTATTTTTCTAAATATAAGTTTTATTCTAATAATTAACAGTTCATTTCATGTTGCATTTGTTGTGCTAATATCTCAGTAGAACAAATTTCATTAATATAATATATATATTAGTATTATAATAACTTTAATAGCATATACACACACAGTATATGAAGATAATAACAGATTAACAGTATTTGAAAAGTTTTTAAATTGCATATTTCATTGCTTAAAAGATTTACATTTACAATTTAGATATGAAACTTATAATTTCTTCAAAATAAATTTTTTACTGTCAATTTAAATATAAAATCAAATGTAAAATATTTTTATACATGAATGAAAATTTTAAATAGATTGATTTTTCTAATCAATTTAAATTTAACAAAGACATCTCTCAAATTGATTTTTTAGTCTGCTGTTCTGTTATGTAAAATAGTTTCATTTTTTTTTTTTGCTGTATTTTAGCTAAATATATTATATTTTTAAAATATTTGATTTAAAAATATAAATGATAAAAATATAGTGTCTTCATTTATATTTTTGTCTTATTTTTAAAATATTCATACTGGAATTATTAACATAATGTTATTATTTTTAAACAATTTCAATACAACTACAATAGCATCAACAACTTCAAATCTCTAAAGTTTGAAAGTTGTTCTGGTGCAAATTAATTTTTTTAAACAAATATTTCTTTCTTTTAAAATTACGACAACCCCTTACTTATTGTATTTCATTTAATGCCATTGAGGACATTTGTACATTCAAGTACGAGGGCTATTTTTTAAATAACGTCTGTTTTTTAATAAGAAGAAAAATACTGTAAATATCATTAAAATATATTTTTCCCATATTCTACATACTTTTATCTACTTTTCTACATAATTTCCATATGTTCAAACATTTGTCATACTGCTCAAAAAGTTTTTAATTCTGACTTCAAAGAAATCTGCTGCCTGCTGCCGGAAGACATTAAGCCACACTGCTTGTCTTGTATGGCACAGTGGAGTTTTCTCAAGGTCACAATAAGCATCAGAATTGATTGTTGTGCCTCCTGACATAAAATCTACTAACAAAGTCACTTTCCTGTCCCAAAAGACAGTTACCACGCTCTTTCGTGCTGAAATCGTATAACAGATCGTATCTTACAGTCGGTGGGCGACTCAATTTTCTTCAACATTATAAACTTCTACAGTTCAGCACACAGACAGATGATACGGCTGCAAATAGCATTTAAACATGCACAAAGCATGCTGAAAACAGATGCTCATGCACACTGCTGCAATCGCGCATCATTCTCACTCTCATTCACAAATGGACCTTATTTAAAAAATAGCCCTCGTACATTTGTAATCATTTACAATTATTGTTGTTGAATTTTCTTCATAAACAGGAAAATTGATTCTACAAGGTGAGATTTAAATGCTAAAGGTGGAAAACACAATTCAATTAGAATATTAACCAAATTATATTTTGTCTGTATCAATTAACCTATGATAATATTGGTTTTATTACACATCAATTCACTTAATATTAGTTTTCAAGAATCTATTGACAATATTAAGTAAGGATTTGCTGTATATAATTATCAATTATTATTTGTATATATTATTCATTACACTTTAATTTTATACAAAATACTCTATATAACTGAATCTGGTTATTTAATACAAATTTTTAATTGCTAATTTGTATTTTATTCTAATTTGGATCTTATTTTGTTTATTACGTATGGTAATCATGTTATCATAAATATATTATACTTTACCTATGACAAATGTAATTGTTGAATTTTAAAACATTACAACAATTACATATTTATTTATTAGAAAACTCGGTCAAACTTAAAATACAAACTATATTAAATACATTGTGATTTATGATATCTATTTTCAATGTAATTACTTGAAAGGTTCTCTATTTATAATAATAATTATGCCTCAAGTTAAGTATTGTTTTATTCATTTGTAGATTCAGATGATAAAATAACTTATTACAAAATTAAAATACTGTAACCTTAATTTTAAACATTCAGTTAAATAAAAATACTGATTCTTTTATAGTAGAATCATAGCTACTAACATGTAAGAAGTGATTTTTAAACATATTTTAAGTGAAAATTAGAGAATATACAAAGATAAATGTTGAAAGTAATTTTATCACTTTCAATATTTTACTAATTTTTCAGAGTTATTCATTCTAAAAATTTTTCAATTTTCTTTCATTAACCATATTTCATTCTGATATTATTTAAAATTTGTTTTCTTAAATTTTGTTCCTTAATGAAATATTTAAAAACTTATAATATTCTGATAAATGCATTTTATAATTGAAATAGTCATGATCATATATGCATATAATGTAAATCAATTTCCATATGTGATATTAACTTGCATTAATTTAGTCTCATCATATGAAAAATATCACTTTGACTAAATATATTTCAACTGGAAAAATCAACGTCTTGAAAATTTATAGCTTCATTATGGTAGGTGACCTTGTAGATTTCCACCTGTTCTAGATGTTTGAGCATATATACAGTCGACCCCCCTATAATTCGGTCCCTATAATTACGATTCCTATAAAACTACGAAAAAATATACGTATTTTGGAAATGTTGAGTCAGATTAGTGTAGAATCGATTAATTTTATGGAAGAAAACCTTTCAAGCAGCCGTAGTCAGTAAACTTGACACGTGTCGGGCTGTGATTGGAACGACTTGTAAGAAATCAGATTCCTAATAAATTGGAACGTATCTATATCTTATAGGGGGGGGTCGACTGTAGTTTAAATTTGTAGTGTAAGAAGTATGTCTACCGGAATTCCACTTAGATGCTGGGAATTAATGCGTATGTGGCTAAAGCCATATTATTTAATCCTTTTTTGATAGATGTTTGATGTTCCTTGAGACGAACATATAATGGGTGAAATGTAGCACCTATGTATTGCAGGTGGTGGTTGTATTGATGGTCAATGATGGGGATGTGGTAAATGCCTGGGAGATGGTCCTTGTTGGGACAATCTTTGGCATTACAGAGTAAAGAGGAGATAGCCAGACTTCTGCAGAACGCCAAACAATAATTGTTTCCTCGTGCTATTTCTTTTATAAACTGGAAAAATTTAGAGGTATCAGAAAAAATGATTAAAGTAAGTAAGAATAGTAACTGCTAATAGTAACTGCTGGTAAGGAAAAAGTAACTACACAGTGTCTAAAGTAAAATTAGTTGGCCACGATAACATATTTGTACACTGCTGTAATATTATACTGAAAGCAATATGCTAAATATTAAGTTTTTGCTTAATAAAAATTCTACTACTACTCAGCATTAAAGTCCTACATCTTAATATTTCCTCCAAACACCAACCCAAAGCTTCCTCAAATTATCCTCCACATCATCCAGCCATTGCTTCAGTGGTCTTCTTCTACATCTCTTGCCACCCAGATTTCATATACAGATCTTGGCAACTCTATAATATGACATTCATTCAACATGCTCCAACCATCTCAGTCTGTTACTCTTTTATTTCCACAATTATAATCAGTATAACCATACAGTTGTGCTACTGTTTTTCTGCATTGTTTTTCCACATCCTCCATTGCCCTGCCTCATACACTGCCCCAAATATCTTCCTTAGAATTTTCCTCTCCCATCTTCTCAAGAGTTCCTCCACAGCCACAGTCATTGTCCATGTTTCCGAACCATACATCACCACTGTCTAATAACTGTGCAATAAACAGCCACCTTCAATCTTCTACACAGGCTATGGGATTTGAGAATTCTAATCAGGGCCCAGTAAGCTCTATTTCCCACTGCAATCCTTGCCTTTATCTCTTAAGTTATCATCACTAGTTAGGCTACCAGTACTCCCAGGTACTTAATAATTTTTATTTATGGCTTTACGGGGGGCGTGACTTGACCGTGAGCGCTGCTGGTGACTTTGTTTTTACACCTCGACGTAAATCTAGAATTTAGTGTATTTT